ATTACTGGCGCTCGACGCCGAAAAAGCTTTTGACCGCCTAAGCTGGCCCTTTCTGAAACAAGCTTTGAGAGCCTATGGGTTCCCCCCCCAGTTCGAGTCACAAATCTTTGCTCTGTATGCAGGTCCGACAGCCCAAGTGCTACAGGCAGGCTTTATGTCCGACCCGTTTCAGTTGTCCAATGGAACGAGGCAGGGGTGCCCCCTATCCCCCCTGCTGTACGTGCTGGCGTTAGAACCCCTCCTGCAAATCATCCGAAACCACCCCGACGTCAAAGGGATCCAATTTAAAGAAACAGAATATAAAATTAGCGCCTTCGCGGATGACATCCTCCTCTATGTCACCGATCCCATGACCACGATCCCCGTAATTATGCATATTATCAAGGAATATGGCCTATGCTCCTACTATGCACTGAACACCACAAAAACCCAAGCCCAGGGAATAGGCCTACCCCCCCAAGTGACGGAAACACTACGCAAGACATACCCCTTTGAATGGCATTATGATACCTAGGCATTATGTTCTCCAGACGCCGCGCTGATCTGAGCGCAGCCAACTATATCAGGGTCTGGACAGAGTGTAAACAAACCCTGACAAAATGGGGATCCCTCTTCCTTACTTGGACTGAGAGAATAGTGGCGATTAAGATGTCCATACTCCCCAGGTTACAATATATTTTTCGGAACCTCCCATTGCCAATGCCACAATCCTATTTTAAAGCGATACAGAGCGATATCACCAACTTCATCTGGAACAAGGGTAAACCCTGCATCTCAATGAAGCTCCTACGAGCCCCAGTTAGAGCGGGAGGCTTAGCAGTCCCAGACGTGCGTACCTATTACCACGCATCCATATTAGCAGCAGCCATTCCCCACTTTGTTGACCAGAGCCCCCCCCAATGGGTCAGGCTTGAGAAGCTCATGATGACTCCGTATGACATCACCCACATACTATGGCTCCCTAAACAGCTTCGCCCCCCCTTAAAAGATATCCCTCCCCAAATCGCCCTGCTCATACGAGTCTGGGACACCCATAGACATAAATTGACCTCCAGATGTCCTCTGTCCCCAGCCACACCGACAGCGGCTCTTGCATACTGCATTCCCACCTTCTACGCCAAACCGTGGCAGGAGAGGGGGCTCCAGCACTTAGGCCAATTTCATACCCTACACTCACTCCACGGTGTCCCCCTGACCTCTCAATTTTCCTACAGACAACTTCATTCTTTCCTGCACAAACAAGCTACACAGGTACCACCCAGCCAAACATCCACCGACCAGCTTACAACATGGGAAAAAGTGTGTATAAATAAAAAACTTCCCCCACTATGTAAGCCAATCTCCACGTGTTACCAACTGCTACTAGACTTCACACCTCTCTCAGAGGCCACGCCAGCTAGACACTCAGAAAGAGTGGAACCCCATATCTACGACACCCAAAACCCTCCTTAAATCAGCACCGTTACTGGAACAGAACAAAAAAATGATTGTACATGGTCCCGGAGCGGCTTCATAAAATGTTCCCCGCCGCTTCATCTACCTGCTGGAGATGTCGGGAACACACTGGATCAGTTTTACATATTTGGTGGACGTGCTTACTGATAAAACCCTTTTGGGAAGCAGTGCACTCCTTCTTACTAGACCTCACGAAACTTAAGCTGCCCCACGACCCGCTCACGTGCCTGCTACTGCACACTCCCCCCCACACTCCTAAGTACCTCCAAAAACTAATTTTCCACACAACACTGACGACTCAACGCCTTATAGCACGGGCCTGGAAATCTCCAACCACTCCTACGATACAAAACGTACTCTCAGAAATGGATGAGCAGAGGCTCTATGAGCGTTGCTTCACGAATATATGCCCACCCACTCACATAGGGACAATGGCATGGGATGCATGGGACGCGTGGAGATTGGCACACCCTGAGTAAGGTGATTCATTCCTGTACCATAGCAACATGTATGCAATGCACTGACCCACTGTGTCCCCAAAGCAAGAGAGCATCGAATTAGGCTACGCTTGGGGAAGTAACATTCCAAGCTATACAGAACTCTCCAGCCCACGTATGGACACATTGACTAGAATTATATTAAGCAACTTTGTGCGGTTTACTTTTAACAACAATGTTATTAACACCACTGTCAATACCATTACTGTATTACCAAGCTACTATGCTACTACGCTATGTCGCCTTGTACCGAGCGACATATACTGTAACATGGAAACCCCGCCCCCTCCCTCTTGTCTTCTGTACCTCCTCCTCTGTTCTTATTAACAATAAAAATTGTCAAATTGAAAAAAAAAGAAGTAGGACCCACATTGCCAGAGCCTGTGGAGAAGTAAGTCTGGCGGAAGTAGTTCCCAGTAGCTGAGCCTGTGAAGCTCGCGGTCTCGCGGAGGTAGCTTACACATTAGCTCACACACAATCACCAAGCACCCTCTCTCTGGTGCGGTCTCCCTAAATACCGCCAGAGCCGCGTCAGAGGGGTCCAGCTCCACATAGCGGAGTGCCAAACCCGGAAGTGTTACCGCATGACACCTACCCCACCACCTGCCCCCTAGATCCAATCCCTCGCAGCTCATCCATACTCTGTCTTCATCTCTTTCTCTACCTCTCACTAAAATTCTCAATCTCTCTCTCTCCCCTCTGGCATATTTCCATCGCCTTTCAAACATGCAACTGTAACTCCAATTCTAAAGAAGTCCAACCTAGACCCTAACTCCCCGTCCAACTACCGTCCTGTCTCGCTACTGCCTTTTGCGTCCAAGGTCCTTGAAAGAGTTGTGTATGCGAGATTGACAGACTTCCTCAAGTCCAACTCTCTGATAGACCTGCTTCAGTCTGGTTTCCGCGCTAAGCACTCTGTGGAAACGGCGCTGACCAAAGTATCCAATAATCAACTTGCTACAAAATCTTGTGGTCACTACTCTACCCTAATTCTCTTTGAACTTTCTGCGGCTTTTGACACTGTTGATCATCAACAGCTTCTTCTCGTCCTCCGCAATATTGGTCTACAAGATATTGCTCTCTGCTGGTGCTCTTTCAGTGTTTCTTTCTCGGGCTCTGCTTCTTCCCCAACGTTCATTCCCCTCTATCTATACTGCCTCCCTTGGTAAACTCATTAGCTCCTTTGACTTCCAATATAATTTCTATGCAGATGACACGCAAATCTGTCTGTCCTCTCCTGATCTCTCCCCGGCCCTCTTGACTAGTGTCTCTGACTGCCTCTCTCTGCTATTTCTAACTGGATGGCTACCCACTTCTTTAAACTCAACTTGACCAAAACTGAAATTCTGGTCTTTCCTCCCTCAAGTGTTGCTACTCCTGTGTCTGTCTCCCTCCAAGTCAATGGTGCTACCATCAGCTCCACCATGCAGGCTCGCTGCCTAGGTGCTCTCTTTGACTCTGACCTCTCCTTTACGCCTCATGTTCAGTCTATTGCCCAATCCTGCTGCCTCCATCTCAAAAACATTGCGCACATCCAACCCTACTTAACGCCAGATGCAACTAAGGTGCTGGTCCATTCCACTGTCCTTTCTCGCCTTGACTACTGTAATCTACTTCTCAGTGCTCCCAACTTGCGCCGTTACAGTCCATAATGAATGCGGCGGCGAGGCTCATCTTCCTGTCCGCCCACACCTCCCATGCCTCACCCTTATGTCAGTTCCTACATTGGCTTCCTGTAAGATATAGGGCTCAATTTAAAATTCTGGTTCTTGCTATGAAATCTCTGCATAATGCTGCACTCACCTATCTATCCTCCCTAATACACAAGTGTGTCCCGTCTAGGCCCTTATGCTCTGCTGAAGACTTACGTCTATCTTCTGTCTGTACTCCCACCTCTGATGCTCGCCGTAAAGACTTCTTGAGGGTTGCACCGTCCCTGTGGAACTCACTTCTTTCCTCCGTTAGATGCCCACCCAGTCTTCACTCCTTCGAAAAAATAATTAAAAACCCACTTCTTCATAAAAGCGTATCAATTAAATTGTTAATAGCTCCTAACTTATTCCTCTCTTGCAACTGTCATTCGTCTAATACTATCTTTACCTTGTTTGTCACTTTACTCCACTCCCTCTAGCATGTAAGCTTCATTGAGCAGGGCCCTCTATTCCTGTGTGTCCAACTTGTCTGGTTACAACTACATGTTTGTTCGTCCACCCACTGTAAAGCACTGCAGAATTTGTTAGCGCTATATAAATAATAACATAATAATAATAATCACTGCCTGCCACCCCTTGTATGGTGTATTGCGGAGAATAGCTCTGCCTTTGCCAATTTGTCATTGTAAGCTAGGCTGCATGCTGCTGGAGACCATTCTATTAAACAGAGAGTAAATGGCTTATCGATGATGCAGGATCCACGGCCCACTGATTCCTGGCACCATAACCTCTTTAAACTATTTAAGTACTTATGTTACCTACAGTATCCATTTAAATATTTCTCTATAAATGGCTGCAAATTTTTGGTCTTTGAATGTAGTGGTGAGTTTATATATACATTTGGTGTTTAACACAGAGGTGTGTTTGAATGTAGTTTTGACGTTCCACTGCAGGAGGATGTTTGTATGTAGTGCTGAAGTTTGTATGCAGTGTTGGTGTTGAATGCTGAGACATATGCACATATAAAAAAATACACTGATACACACACACACACACACACTGTGAAGCACATACACACAGATACACATATACACATTGAAACACATGCAGATATACAGACACATATACACACACTGCAACACATGCAGATACAGACACACTGACTGACAGATACAGACACACCAATACACATACAGACAAACAGATACACAACCTGACACACATGCAGATGCTCAGATGCACAGATACACATTGACACACATACAGATACACAGACACATATACTGTCAGACATACTGACACAGATACTGACAGTTAATTTATTTATATCTGTGTCGGTATGTCTGTCAGGGTCTGTGTCTCAGTATGTCTGACAGTATCTGTCTGTGTGTGTGTCAGTATGTCTGTCAGTATATGTGCCTGCGTGTGTGTGTCTGTCAATGTATGTATTTATATGTGTGTCGGTATGTCTGACACACACATACACGCAGGCACACATACAGACACACACAGACGCATTCACTGACAGACATACTGACAACAACTGGCACATAAACCGGCAGACATGCTGACATACACATAGACAGACATACTGACACATATGCAGACACATACACTGACAGACATACTGACAAACACAGGCACATATACTTACAGACATACTGGCACGCACACACACATACACTGACAGGCATATTGACACACACAGACACATCCACTGAAAGACATACTTGCACACACAGGCACAAATACTGACAGACATACTGTCACATACACTGACAGACATACGGACACACACAGGCACATCATATACTGACAGGCATACTAACAAACACAGATACATACACTGATAGACATACTGACACACACACAGACAGACATACACTAACAGACATACTCACACACAGACACACACACATACTGACACACACAGATACATACACTAACAGACATTCTCACACATAGACACACAGACATACTAACACAACACTGACAGGCATACTGACACACAGATACATACACTGAGAGACATACTGACACACACAGACAGACATACTCTCTCACACACACACACACACAGATATGTACACTAGTAGACATACTGACACACACACACACACACACAGACATACACACTGACAGGTATACTGACCCACACGGATACATACACTGATGGACATACTGACACACACACACACACACACACATAAACAGACACACACATACAGACATACTGAAACTCACACTGACAGACATACTGACACACACACATACATACTGACACAAACACAGGCATACTGAGACACACATATACAATTTAAATTTTTTAAACCCACTCTCCAGTTTCCTAACTTTTTTTTTTTGGTGCATGAGGCTGATGTGAGTGAGGAGCCCCCATCCTCACTGCGTGCTCCTCCATCAAGCGCAGCTTCCCTCTCTCTGTGGGAGGAAGTGATTTGCGGCTGTCACTTCCTCCCAGCTGGCTGCTGAAAAGAATGGGGCCCCACTGTTAAAGGGCCACAGTGCCCGACTGGGCCCTTGCTAAAAACAAGCCCTAAAAGCATGGGCCACCTGGTGGGCCTTCTTAGTGTGCTCCAACGGCAGGCCCATAGGGGTGGAGAGGGAATAAATAGATCAGGGCAGCGGGGCCCACGGGGCACCTGCCTAGGACCCCCAGAGTAACTGGGCTGGGGAAGCTGCCCCGGTTGCCCCGCGTTGCCCCTGCCTCTGTCTCCTCTTCCTCAGGACCCGCTCCCACCAATAAAGTGTTTAACAAACTGTATTTACTTACCTGATCCCAGCACTGATATCGCTCAGTGCTGGGTCAGCACTCTGCGTCCTCCGCCATCATTCAAAGAGGAGGGCTTCTGCGAATGTGTGGCGAGCATCACGAGTGCCTTAGGCCCTCCCCATAGGAAAACATCACTCAATGCTTTCTTATGGGATGTCCTCATGCAGAGCGTGAGGATGTCCAGCATCAGTTAGGCTGTCAGGAAGACAGCCAATAGAGCCTGACCTAGTTCTGCAATGTAAACACTGTAGTTTCTCTAAAACTGCAATGTTTTACACTGCAGCACTAAGTGCAATAGGGACACTGTACCCAGGCCACTTAAATAAGCTGAAGTGGTCTGGGTGTCTGTTAGTGTCCTTTTAACAACCCCTTTCTGTATGAATTTTTTTTTCTAACTGCAGTATTGTCATGCTAAAACAGGAAAGTGTCTACTCCAAATTATTGCCACAATTTGGAATAACATATGTATTTAGAGTGGCAATGAATCTTATTATATACAAATGTCCCTGTATTGGAATAATGGGCCTTTTAGCTTTGATTGATGCTGAAATAACCACATCCACTAATTGTCCCCTTCTCTCATATCCAACTTAAAAAAAAAATACAGGCACTCCAAATCTGTTACCACTACTAAAGCCTTGTATCTTATGCAAATAATCATACAGAAAAAAAGCCTGCAGGATCAAAGTATTATACACATCTAGCAATATAGTAAATATGATCCAATGCACTGAATGTGACCTAGAGTGCTACATTGGGGAAAACATGGGGCAAATATTTAAAGAACGAAACAGGGAAAAAAATATGGAAGCTCCAACTTGCAAATAAAAATCACACCAAATCTATTACCCCCAATACCAGCCCTTTCTCATTTATAAATAATCATACAGTTTTTTACAAGTATTTCTGTGAATTGTAGACAAGGGATGTCAGAGAGCACAATATTTCTATCAGATTTTGTTGAAATACATACCTTTTTTTTTTTTAATAAAACACAAAATCAAGGAACATGTTTGACATATGAAAAAAGGATGGAAAAACAATATTTCACTACAATTTAAAATGTGCATTATTTGGGCTGTTGCTAAGGTCAAACACCTTGGGCTTGATAAAAAAATATTTAGTTACCCCTTCCTAAAGCCCCACCTCAAGCGGTAGCAGGGGTAGCAGTTTTGTAAACACACAGTGTTTATAAAAGATAATGTCATATTCCTTTTGTGTCTCTATCACTGAGTTATTCTGCTTCAGGTCAACTCATATCCAAGGATAGTGGGCAGTAAAAGCAGAGAGAAGGCAATAAGATTTGGGGGCACAGGGGCACAAAAAGATCCCACAGTGACATATTTCTACTATTATGTTTATCACACGACTAGAAATGCTAACAGCTGCAGAGATGCAATGGATATATGATAGATGAGATGTTGGAATTATCACTAAAATGTTAACAAATGTAGTGGATATATAAAAAATTTTGTAGCACTAACTCCCTTGTGTTCAACTGCTGGAAAATAACTCATTTAAGGAGTTCGATTGCTGCCAAGGTCAGCTCTTTACCTTTCATATTTCTAAGTTTAATACATTGAGTAACATTGATTTAAGTAATTATTACATCTACACCCCTTGACAGACTTAACAACTAGTGAATGCCAAATGTATTCTCCTTGGTTAAATCATTTCACACCATTATGTGTAAGATACAGAAACTTGAAGCTTTTTATCTTCTTTTCTATTGATGTCCAATAGTTATGGATCTGAAGTGGTACAGACAGCATTTTATTATGCAATTACAAAAACACAGTGTGAAACTGCATGACAGATTTAAATGCACTTTCAAAAAATATGTAACGTTGTTACTATTGTCTAGATATGGAATAAAAACAATGTATAGTAAAATCTGCACTGTTATTTTATCTTTTGCATTTTAGGTATAAAACAGCTATGCCAATGAAATCATTGAGTGATTCTGATATATAATAATATAATAATATATATATATATATATATATATATATATATATACATATTTTATTTTTCAGAGAAAATTTATTTTAGATAAAAACAATTCCTCCCCCCCTCCAACTTGCATCAAAAACTAAACAGCAGGAAATACTTTGGTGGGATGAATGCAGGAAAAGGTACCACACCATGCAGAAAAAATCCCACTGCAAACTGTGCCACCATATATTATTGTTATTATTATTATTTATATATAATGCATTAACAGGTTCCGTAGTGCTGTACAATAGGTGGACTAACAGACACGTATTTGTAACCAGACAAGCTTGACGCACAGGAACAGAGGGATTCAGGGCCCTGCTCAATGAGCTTACATGCTAGAGGGAGTGGGGTATAGTGACACAAAAGGTAAGGGTAGGTTGCTAGGATAGTATTCATTGAGGGCTTAGTGTTTTGTTTTGATGACAGTTTCAGGAGAGGAATTAGGGTTCAGGGAGGGAAAGCTGTTAACAGTTTAATTGATATGCTTTCCTAAAGAAGTAGGTTTTCAAAGATTTTTTGATGGAGTGGAGATTGGGTGAGAGTCTAAATGTGTTCCATGGGAACGGTGCAACCCTAGAACCCTACAGAAGTCTTTAAGATGAGCATCAGAGGTAGGAGTACGAACAGAGGTTAGAAGTAGGTCTCCGGCAGAGCATAGGGGCCTAAATGGGACATATTTGTGTATTAGTGAGGATAAGTAGGTGAGAGCAGCATTGTGTAGGGATTTGTAAGCAAGAGTCAGGATCTTAAATTGATCCCTATATCTTACTGGAAGCCAATGTAGGGACTGACAAAAGGGGGAGGCGTGGGCGGACAGGAAGATTAGCCTTGCTGCAGCATTCATTATATACTGTAACGGGCAAGTTGAGAAGCGGATTATAGTAGTCAAGGCGAGAGAGGACAGCAGCATGGACAAGCACCTTTCCCGTATCACCTTTGCCGTATATCATATATACACAGATAACCCTGCCAGTTTTCACTAAAAGACCTACAGTTTCAAATATCTTTTTCCTGAACATCTAGCAATGCATTATATATCATCCAAGCACTAAATGTGGCTAAGGGTGCTATACTAAGGAAACCACCCAGAAATTAACTGGCAATGTGAATATGCCCAGACACTTCATTAAACACCACAAAGAAGAGCACCATTTAACCTAGCCTGACCACACGATCTATTGCCTTAAAAACTATGTGCTCAAATACCCAGGTGAGAAACTTTTAAAGCCAGAATGATCCAATTTTTTACAGCACAAATACATTTGTCAAAATTCCAAAGTTTTATATGAACCCTTCTCTTATCACTATATGGTCCGGCTATCATTTGTGCCCATATGTTTAGATTTATTCTAATGCCCATGTATTATTATGTCAGCAGATATGGTAACATGCGTATATTTATACTTCCTTATACTTAGGTGCATTTAGGTGTGTTATGTGTATGTAAATGTATATCTATTTAAATAAACAAACTCACCTGGAGGATGATGAGAACATTGTTTTCTATCCTCAATGTTTGTGGCTTATATACAGCTATACCACATGAAGCATGGTTTTATACAATTTAACAGGTGTCATCAGGTGACTTTGTTCATGATTATTTTCTGTATTTTTAGTATTTTGAAAATTGCTCTTAAATGGATGCTATAGTGCCTGTAATACAATGCTGTTTTCCTGGCACTATTGCTCCCCCTGCCTCCCTCCTCACCCCCCTCCCCCCTCGTGCACCCT